TGTGTCTCTGTGTGCCACATGGAGCATCGAGAAGAGAAAGAGCAGCAAAGAATTGTCTGGGGATTTGAGAGCAGAAATTATGGAAAAACAGGTACAATCTCAAGGCCACAAGTCCATCTGCAGAGATCTTAATGTTCATGTGCCCACTATGCGCAACATTGTCAAGAAGTTTACAGCCCATGGCACTGCAGGTAATCTCCCTGGACATGGACGGAAGAGGAAAGTTTCCCGAAGATTGCAACAACTGAGTACTGTCCGTGATATTTTTTTTATTTGCAGTAACATACAATTTTGAGGACAAGCTTTCGGGGAATGTCCCCTTCTTCAAGCTCTAAGCAGTGCTACTCACAACGTTTTAGCAGAATGTTAGAAGAGATGTGGGGGATGAAAAAAAAAAAGAGACTAGAGATAATACACAGCAAAAGCAAAGATTGGAGGGGGGGGGGGGGGGGAGACAACACTAACAGAGGGAGTCATGCTTGAGGTGATAGTCATAAAATTGTTGGATAATGATTGAGGAATCCTATGTCCAAATTAAGGCCGTTATCTCTTGTGTCAAATAGAATTATCATTCTTAGTTCAAAAGTTTTTCTTTCCTGAATGGATTTGAAATTTCCTTTAAGAACTAAAATATTGAGGTCTCCCAAAGTGTGGTCTGGTTGTGCGAAATGGTGTCCCTCAGGTGTGCAAAAGTCATCTTCTTTATGTTCCTTGATGGTATGTCTGTGCAAATTCATCCTTGTTTGCAACTTATGTCCTGTTTCGCCAACATAAGATCCTTTGCTGCATTTTCTGCACTGGATAAGGTACACAACATTACTGGAGGTGCAGCTGTATGATCCGGAGATATTGAAGATCCCTTTTGAGTGTCTGACACTTTTTGATAGATTGATTTGGTTGCACAGTTTGCAACGTTTTTTATTGCAGGGCTTGCTTCCATTATTTGTGACATCATAATCAGAAGGAAGTTTCCTACTGATTAGTTTATTTCTGAGGTTGGGGGGGTGTCTGAAGGCCAGTTTTGGCGGTTGCTGGAATATTTCTTTCAGAGTTCCATCCTCTGTTATGATGGGTTGTAAATCTTTGATTATTTTTCTTATTCCTTCTAGTGCTGGGTTGTATATGGTTACTAGAGGTACACGGTTGTTTGTTTTTTTCTCTTTGTACTGAAGTAGATTTTCTCTTCTGGTTCTCAAGGCTGTGTTTATGCTGTTGTTGATAGTTTTTGTCCTTGTAAACTTTTCTTATGGAAGGAGTCTGCTAGTGTCCCAAGATGTTTATCTCTGTTTCTTGGGTCAAAACATATTCGGTGGTATCTAATGGCCTGACTGTGTACGATGGCACGTTTCGTGTGTTGGGGGTGGAAGCTGGAACTGTGAAGGTAGTTCCATCTGTCAGTGGGTTTCCTGTATATTGAGGTATGAAGCGTATCATCCTGATGTATACTGTGGTGTCTAGGAAGTTGACGTGTGTGTTTGAGTATTCCATTTTTAGTTTGATTGATGGATGAAAAGTGATCAATGAGTAAAATGTATCCCTTGTGTAAGTTCTGACCTGACTGAAAATGTGGATATAACAGAGGAACTTGGAATCATCAACTTGTCAAATCATAAACTTTCTGATCCAGAATTAACCATCCTCTCCAAAGGCCTTACATTATGCCCAACCACCAAATTGGATCATTTACAATTATTGTCAGATATGGAGGATTTCTTCAGGAGACTAAGGCTCAAAGAATATTTCCACAGTAATGAAAGGTATCCTAGGACAATGGAGTGCTACACAAAGAAAAAGAACAGCTGCTTCACACCTCCACAAGGACGCAACCCCAAACTGGACACCTATATTGATAGTTTCAGATTGTGAGCTACATCCCTGATATCTACCCAGCAAAAGAAAATTCTGTACCATTTTTCACCACTAGAGTGAAGGGCTATACACGATTTGCACAATAATCAGGCCATCACCATCAAACCAGCGGATAAAGGGGGAGCAGTTGTTGTGATGGATACAAACAAAATACATACAAGAAGGCCAGAGGCAGCTGGAAAATGCCATCTACTATAAGGAACTGGATTATGATCCAACCCAGGACTTTACAAAGCAATTAAAAGGTCTCATTAAAACACTTCCAGCCCACCTACATTCAGAACTTATAAATGCGATTCCGGATCATCCAGAAATCGGGGGCTTTTACATGCTGCCCAAAATCCACAAGCCAGGAAATCCAGGCAGACCCATCATAACAGGTATGAACACACTCACCGAAACAAATCTCATGCTTTTTAGAAAAATTTTTAAAACTGTTAGTCAAGAATACTGCTAGTTTCCTGCAAGACACAACTGATTTCTGGACAAGATCAACAACATACAGCAATTACCATCTAATACACTTCTAGTGACTATGGATGTAGTATCCCTGTATAGTAATATCCCTCACAAGGATGGATTAGCTGCATGTCACAGATCCTTATCATCCTCACCAAACCACAAATACACTGCTGAGGATGTTACACAGCTCATTGAATTCATATTTACACACAACTACTTTACTTTCAATAAAGACATCTATCTTCAATGTATGGGCACTGCAATGGGAAGTAAAATGGCACCCCAATATGCCAATTTATTTATGGCTGACCTGGAGGAAAAATTCCTGAACAGCATGGAACAAAAACCATACAGATACTATCGCTATATTGATGATATTTTCATCATATGGACAGAAGATGAAGAATACCTAAAACAATTTTACTCATTGATCAACACTTTTCATCCATCAATCAAACTAAAAATGGAATACTCAAACACACACGTCAACTTCCTAGACACCACAGTATACATCAGGGATGATACGCTTCACGCCTCAATGTACAGGAAACCCACTGACAGATGCAACTACCTACCTCCACAGTTCTAGCTTCCACCCCCAACACACGAAACGTGCCATACGATACCACCGAATATGTTCTGACCCAAGAGACAGAGATAAACATCTCAGGACATAAGAAAGGTTACAAGGACAAAACTATCAACAACAGCATAAACACAGCCTTGAGAACCCGAAGAGAAAAATCTACTTCAGTTCAAAGAGAAAAAAAACAAACAACCGTGTACCTCTAGTAACCACATACAACCCAGCACTAGAAAGAATAAGAAAAATAATCAAAGATTTACAACCCATCATAAACAGAGGATGGAACTCTGAAAGAAATATTCCAGCAACCACCAATACTGGCCTTCAGACAACCCCCAACCTCAGAAATAAACTAATCAGTAGGAAACTTCCTTCTGATTATGATGTCACAAATAATGGAAGCAAACCCTGCAATAAAAAACGCTGCAAACTGTGCAACCAAATCAATCCATCAAAAAGTGTCAGACACTCAAAAGGGATCTTCAATATCTCTGGATCATACAGCTGCACCTCCAGTAATGTTGTGTAACTTATTCAGTGCAGAAAATGTAGCAAAGGATCTTATGTTGGTGAAACAGGACAGAAGTTGCAAACAAGGATGAATTTGCACAGACATACCATCAAGGAACATAAAGAAGATGACTTTTGTACACCTGTGGGACACCATTTCGCACAACCAGACCACACTTTGGGAGACCTCAATATTTTAGCTCTTAAAGGAAATTTCAAATCCATTCAGGAAAGAAAAACTTTTGAACTAAGAATGATAATTCTATTTGACACAAGAGATAACGGCCTTAATTTGGACATGGGATTCCTCAATCATTATCCAACAGTTTTATGACTATCACCTCAAGCATGACTCCCTCTGTTAGTGTTGTCCCCCCCCACAGTCTTTGCTTTTGCTGTGTCTTATCTCTAGTCTCTTTTTTTTTTTTTTCATCCCCCACATCTCTTCTAACATTCTGTTAAAACTTTGTGAGTAGTACTGTTTGACCTTGAAGAAGGGGACATTCCCCAAAAGCTTGTCCTCAAAATTGTATGTTAGCGCAAATAAAAAAAGTATCACGAACAGTACTCAATTGTTTCTGTCACAAATGCACCAATACGGCTACAATCACCTCAACCAAAGATTTCAACAAAGGATTGTTTGAGTGGTGGCTAAAGAACCTTGATCACTTTCCAGACAAATTCAAGCTGACCTCCAGGCATATAGTACAACTGTGTCAGCAACACTATACATCACCATTTGAATGAAAAGGGACGCTATGGTAAGAGACCCAGGAGGATCCCATTGCTGACACAGAAACATAAAAAAGCAATTGGAGTTTGCCAAAACTTATCTGAGGAAGCCAACATCCTTTTGGAAGAATGTGCTGTGGACAGATGAAACAAATTTACATATTTTTGGTAAAGCCCATCATTCTACTGGTTTCAGAAAAAGCAATGAGGCCTTTAAAGAAAAGAATACAGTCCCTATAGTCAAACATGGTGGAAGTTTACTGATGTTTTGGGGTTATTTTGCTGCTTCAGGCACTGGATGTCTTGACAGTGTGCATGGCGTTATGGAATCTGAAGACTACCAGAAAATTCTCGGGTGCAATGTAAGGCCCAATGTCAGAAAGTTGGACCTACGTCACAGGTCAAGGGTCTTACAACAGGAGAATGACCCAAAGCACACGTCAAAATGCACCCAGAAATGGTTTTAGACAAAGTGCTGGAGAGTACTGAACTGGCTAGCTATGGGTCCAGATCTAAATCCCATAGAGCAGGCCTTGGAATTTCCACTCGTCTGCTCACATTTGGCAAGTAGAAATAATGTGGGGGTGAGTGTGTGTGCTGACACTCTGCACAAGACAGGAGACAGACAGCGGCACGCTGGGCGGTATATTATTCCACAGCGAGGAAGGAGTGGGCAGGGCCATGAGCTCCACTGACTCTCTGACCAATTCTAGAGCAGTGGGTGGGTCCACTGTGGTGTATGGGGACAAGATGGGTGTGACTTGGCATGCAGTGGCTACTCTGATCCCTTGAATCGGACGCTTGGACTCCGACATTTCACCCCGCATGGCACTGCTGTTCCTGGAGCTGAAGGAGGGATGAGGAGCCCAGGTACTTGGGGAGAGGACGGAGGACACTCCTTTCAGATGGATGACAGCCACTGACAACACAAGTAAGAACCTCTCCAGGGACCCGAACTGTGGATCTTTGTGCCGGGACACACCATCATTGTGTGGGGACTCAGCATTTGTATCAGTGGTTGAATTGTACACTATCATCGGTATCAGTAAAGGGACAATGCCCCATGCTTGGTGTCAATGGGAGGAATGGTGCCCCATCATTGGTGTCAGTGGGAAGAATGGTGCCACGTCATTGGTGTCAGTGGGAGGAATGATGCCATATCATTGGTGTCAGTGGGAGAAATAGTGTCCCATCGTTGGTGTCAGTGGGAGAAAGTGTCCCATCATTGGTGTCAGTGTTCGGAATAGTGCCCCATCATTGGTGTCAGTGGAAGGAATAGTGCCCAATTGTTGGTGTCAGTGGGAGGAACAGTGCCCCATTGTTGATGTCAGTGGGAGGAATAGTGCCCCATCGTTGGTGTCAGTGGAAGGAATAGTGTCCCATCGTTGGTGTCAGTGGGAGGAATAGTGCCTCAGCTTTGGTGTCACTAGGAGAATTAGTGCCTCAGCGTTGGTGTCCCTATTGATGAAAAGCACTTATTTTCCTTGTATGTTTACATTGTTGTTGTTACTGTTTATTTTTGTAACGTCTGAATAAAATGTTTAATAGTGTAATTTAACCGCTTTCTTGCCACCCTATAGCAGAAATCCTGTTACAGGGCAGTAGGAGTGCGCAAAATCACATGTACAGTGAGGAACAGAAGTATTTGAACACCCTGCGATTTTGCAAGTTCTCCCACTTAGAAATCATGGAGGGGTCTGAAATTTACATTGTAGGTGCATTCCCACTCTGAGAGACAGAATTTAAAAAAAAAATCAGGAAATCACATTGTATGATTTTTAAAGAATTTTTCTTGCACTGCTGAACATAAGTATTTGAACACCTAAGAAACAGCAAGAATTCTGGCTCTCAAAGACCTGTTACTGTGCCTTTAAAAAGTCCACCTCTACTCCACTCATTAATCTAATTTAGTAGCACCTGTTTGAGCTCTTTAAAGACACCTCTCCACCCCACAGTCAGTCAGACGCCAAATACTACCCATGGGCAAGACCAAAGAGCTATCAAAAGACACCAGAGAAACAATTGTGGACCTCCACAAGGCTGGAAAGGGCTACGGGGCAATTGCCAAGCAGCTTGGGGAAAATATATCAACTGTTGGAGCAAATGTTAGAAAATGGAAGAGGCTAAAGACGACTGTCAGTCTCCCTCGGACTGGGGCTCCATGCAACATCTCACCTCGTGGGGTATCACTGATGATAAGAAAGGTGAGGAATCAGCCCAGAACTACAAGGGAGGAGCTGGTCAATGACATGAAGAGAGCTGGGACCACAGTTTCAAAGGTCACTGTCGGTAGAACACTACGCCGTCATGGTTTCAAATCATGCATTGCACGGAAGGTTCCCCTACTCAAGTCATCACATGTCCAGGCCCGTCTGAAGTTTGCCAATGACCATCTGGGTGATCCAGAGGAGGCATGGGAGAAAGTCATGTGGTCAGATGAGACCAAAGTAGAACTTTTTGGTCTAAACTTCACTCGTCGTGTTTTGGAGGAAAAAGAAGGATAAATTGCATCCCAAGAACACCATCCCTACTGTGAAGCATGGGGTGGTAACATCATGCTTTGGGGGTGCTTTTTTGCGAAGGGGACAGGACAACTGCACTGTGTGACGGGCGCGGCATCAGACCCCACCCCTTCTCACCAAACTCGTGACCAAAGGACTAGCCAATCTAAAACCGCGCTGTCACATGCATAACAATACCACGCCCAGCTGCACCCTGCACAAAGATTTTCCAGCTAATGGACTACAATCTATGTACCTGCAGCCTGGACGCTATTGTTACTGGGTCGGGTTAATTACACAATTAACCCTTCACACTGCCACCACCTCCTTTTTGTATAGAGAAAGAGGAAACTCAGCAATACACTAGGATGATTGGTTAACTGTCAGTATTCCGCTGTCTCTACAGACCGGTTATACAGAGGGTTAAATACTCATAGTAGCATTCTCTTTAGAGGCAGGGATTTGTAAATTGCAATACAGAGCTATAGAAACAGTTCAACACTTTTAGAAAGTAAGATTTATTACCAAAAGGTTAAAAGGGTGCAGTACGAATATTTACAGAAAGAAGATGTAACCAATATATATATATAAATATACAGAGCACAACAGCACAGCAAACAGATAACAGAAAGAAGTTTAGGTAAATAAGTACTTGCCAAATAAATGTCTGGGGTTAAGCAGTTTCAAGTCTGATGAGCTAAAAAAAGGATTTCTGGTCTTGCCCTTAGTGGCGATGGTACACCAAGACTCTTGGTCGGCTAGATGGTACAGAGCCAACGTCCTCACTTGTCTGACTGAACACAAAAGAAAGAAACCTCTTCTTTTCTAAGACAAACTCAACTGGAATCTTCCTATCACGGCCAAGCCAATACCTTATTTGGCAAAAGAATTGTTAGGCAGGCTCAGCATCATATGCTGCTTGCATTCCTGAGGGAGGGGAATGAGGAGATACATGAAACCTTCTTAATACAGTGAGCCTGTGCCTGGCTCTGTGTGCACCCCTCCCCCCTCAGGTGTTTGCATAGGAGTTTAGGAGAAATAAATGCCGATGTTTGGGGTAAATGGAGAACCGCTCTTCTCCCTGTGTGCAGGATTGTGACACACTGTATTAAGGAGAGTATGAATGGGGCCATTTATTGTGAGATTTTGAGCAACAACCTCCTTCCCTCAGTCAGAGCATTGAAGATGGGTCGTGGCTGGGTCTTACAACATGACAGCAACCCGAAGCACACCGCCAGGATAACCAAGGAGTGGCTTCGGAAGAAGCATATCAAGGTTCTGGAGTGGCCTAGCCAGTCTCCAGACCTAAATCCAATAGAATATCTTTGGAAGGAGCTGAAACTCCGTGTTGCTCAGCGACAGCCCCGAAACCTGACAGATCTACAGGAGATTTGTGTGGAGGAGTGGGCCAAAAGCCCTATTGCAGTGTGTGCAAACCTGGTCAAGAACTATAGGAAACGTTTGACCTCTGTAATTGCAAACAAAGGCTTCTGTACCAAATATTAACACTGATTTTCTCAGGTGTTCAAATACTTATGTTCAGCAGTGCAAGACAAATAAATTCTTTAAAAATCATACAATGTGATTTCCTGAATTTTTTTTTAAATTCTGTCTCTCAGAGTGGGAATGCACCTACAATGTGAATTTCAGACCCCTCCATGATTTCTAAGTGGGAGAACTTGCAAAATCGCAGAGTGTTCAAATACTTCTGTTCCTCACTGTATATTCGTGATTTTGCATTTCCGGGTAGGGGGCATGCACGGGCCACACGTGCGCCCTACCTGTGGCACCATTCTCTGTCAATCACCAGGTCCCGGCTGGTGATTACTCACCGGCACATGATGGTTGCCAATTATTACAGACGGGGGAGAGAACTATATGTAAACCACACAGATCTCTCCCCTGTCAGCATAGCTGAGCCATACAAAGCAGTGTGCTTACAGTGGAAAGTACACACACAGCCCCATAATAAAACACACACAGCACACAGTTAACCCTTTGATCACCCCAGATGTTAACCCCTTCCTTCCCAGTGCCATTAGTACAGTGTCAGTGCTTTTTATTAGCACTGATCACTGTATTGGTGTCACTGTGGATGTCAGTTTCCCCCAGTGTCAGAATGCCCACCGCAGTCCCGCTATAGGTCACTGATCACCGCCATTACTAGTAAAAATATAATTAGAAGGAAAAAAAATTCCATTATCTATACCGCCATTTGCAAACGCTATAACTTACACGTAAACCAATTAATTTACACGTATTGGGATATGTAGCAGAATACAATTTGGTGTAAATTTATTTGATTTTTTAAATTTTTTTACTGGAAATGTTTAATAGCAAAAAGTCAAAAATAGTTTTTTTTTTCAAAATTGTCAGTCTTTTTTTGTTTTTAAATTGGCATAATAAAGCTATGTTATAATTGCAGTTTTTTATATTTTGGACTCTTTATTCTAAAGAAAAATGTAATTTTCATAAGCTTTAAGGGGGCGTAATTGGGGGAATGGCTGGGGGTTGGGGATGGGGTGGGGTTGGAGGCGGACCTGGGCAAGGTTGAGTGGAACAACTGGTGGAGAGTAAGGTTTGTACCTGGCTAGTAGGTCTAGACTCGAAATTTTAAGCCCTGCCATAGAGTATTTAGGAATAAAACTAACTCTCCTGCAGTAAAGGACCTATAACAGGCTAATTATATCCCATTAACCTCCTTGGCAGTGTTCCCGAGCGTGACTCGGGGTTAATTTTCATGTCCAGGAGCGGTAACCCCGAGTCACGCTCGGGGTAAAGTGCAGAGGATACAGCGGACTTCCCCTACCTTCTCCCCGCGATTCCCCGCTGTGATCGCCGGTGAGAACGCTGCCCGGCATCTGACTTCCTGGTTCCTCTCTCTGCGAGCAGCCGCAGTGCAGGAGAGTGGAACTGGGAGGGAATATTAAAAATTTAAAAGTGACACACACATACATATAAAAGAGATGATACATTGTAATCTGAGAGGATTACAATATACAGTTGCAAGAAAAAGTATGTGAACCCCTTGGGATTACGTGGAGTTTTGCATGAATTGGGCATAAAATGTGCTCTCTGAACGTCATCTAAGTCACAACAATAGAAGAACACAGTCTGCTGAACATAATACTACACAAACATTAGATGTTGCCATGGTTTAATTGCACATAACATGTAAACATTCACAGTGCAGGGAGGAAAAAGTATGTGAGGCCCTAGCTTAATGACTTCTCCCAGAGCTAATTGGAGCCAGGAGTGAGCCAACCTTGTCTCCAATCAGTGTGATGATATTGGATGTGTTGCTAACAGCTGTCCTGCCCTTAAAAAACACACACCTGTTTTGGGTTTACTGGTTTCAAGAAGCACTGTCTGATGTGAACCATGCCTCGCAGAAAAGAGCTCTCAGAAGACCTACGATCAAGAATTGTTGACTTGCATGAAGCTGGAAAGGGTTACAAAAGTATCTCCAAAAGCCTTGATGTTCATGTGTCCACGGTAAGACAGACTGTCTACAAACGGAGAAAGTTTAGCACTGTTGCTACTCTCCCTAGGAGTGGTCGTCCTGTAAAAATGACTGCAAGAGCACAGTGTAGAATGCTGCATGAGGTAAAGAAGAATCCCAGAGTGTCAGCTAAAGACCTACAGAAATTTCTGGCACATGCAAACATTTTTGTTGACACATCTACAATAAGGAAAACATTAAACAAGAATGGAGTACATAGGAGGACACAACGGAGGAAGCCATTGCTGTCCAAAAAGAATATTACAGCACATTTGAAGTTTGCAAAAGAGCACCTGGATGTTCCACAG